TAAGTCATAATTACCCTACTAGATTCTCATATAAAAACTTTATCATCCCAAAATTTACATTAAAGTTAAATTCATACTCAATTAAACACCGCGGACCTTATTTGTGGAAATCTTTCCTCAGATTGTTACTATCAAAAATGCACTTGAGCAGTTTAAATCTGAATCAAAGCGTTTTTTATAGTCCACGGACTTAAATCTTCTTTTTCTTTTTTAGTAAAATAATATAAACTAGCACAATTTGTTTCTTTTATTTGCTTTAACTTTTACTTGTTTTAAATTTATTTTAAAATACAAATTTATATATAAACAAATATCAATTGTAAAACGTAGTTTTACATATTTTTATGTATTTTATCACAAGGATTTATCACAGTTTTATATATTTTATTTTAAAATACGACCTGTAATGAAGTCACTATGGGGCTAGGTGATAAGACAAACTGATGTCGTCTTGTTGCTCCAGCCATTTGTTTTATTATTAATTTTGTTTTATAAATTGTAACTTTCTACGGCAAAAATTATAACAAAACAAAACAAAACATTCCTCTTACCATCCAGTTGTCCCCCTGCCCCCTTTTATATCCAGTTACCCCTTCCCCCTCTTTCCTTGCTCCACCAGAGTTGTTAAACATAAAACAATTTTTATAAATGAGATAATTTTTTTTAAGAGAAGATAACTACAATAATAAAAACTTCATGTTATAACTTATCTAATAATCAACATTTTATCGTGAACATTTTACCGCGATATCATCCCGAGCGTATATTATCCAAAACATTTATAACCAGAGCCAACGACACAGCTTTTGAAGTGTGTGTGTGTGTGAGGGGGGGGGGGGGGAAAGGGGGGGGGGAGGGCACGTTCATCAATTTGTGAAAAAAGTCCTATATATCAAAATTTATCTTAAAAATAAAAATTAAAAGATCCTTTAGAAAAAAAGTGGGGGCAAACCCCTTGGCCCCCCCCCGGTGTCGTCGGTCTTGATCACGTAACATTATCACTAGCATATATGATATAACATTATCACAAACAAAATTGATGTAGCATTATCACAAACAAATTTGATGTAACATCACAAATACATTTAATGTAACATTAATTAAATTAAAACTTCTATTATGGATATAGCTCTTTACTTGAAATTAACTTTTATACAAAATTTCATGGAAGTATAGATACACTAGATGTCAAGTATGTATAATTTGAAACATAACATAAATATATATACTTAACAACGAGGGTATCTATATTCCCTTGAAATATTGTATGAACATTAATTTCAAATAAAGTGTTACATCCATAATAGAAATTTTAATCTAATTATATTTTAAATTTTTTAATAAGATGTCTTTTAAAATTTAATTTGACGTAACATTATTCCAAACACTTTATGTGAAATTATCATAAACATTGTTGACGTAACGTTAAAAATATTTTATTCTATAATGAGTCCCAAAGGTACTAAAAATATTTTATTCTATAATGAGTTAAAAAAATAGATAATATAATAAAAAAATAGATAAAAATAGATAAGATAAAATTGATCAATTTTATCATTATTTGAGTAAAATGAAATTAAAGACTTTTTCCGCATTTAGTTTTTAGTATATTAAAATCAAAAGTTTTGAGTTTTATTTAGTTTCTTCAACATTACAACAACACTTTTTACAAATCAAAAGTTTTATTTGCGGTGACCAAACTTATTAAATGTATAGAGGAAATTATTTATTTTATGTGATCAAAAAACCCTCAGTGGCGGATTTAGTATAGGTCATGGGGGCGAGGAAATACTTTAAAACAGAAGTTTTAAAATATTTCCTTTCGAAACATTGATATTAAACTCTAAAAAGAGAAACTTTGATATTAAATTCTGCAGAGGACAAGCATATGATAGTGCTTATATAATTTTTGGAATTAAAAGTAGTCTTCAAGCTCGAATAAAAGCGCTTTCACCAAATGCCATTTATGTTCATTGTTGTGCTCACTTTTTAAATTTGTTGACTATTGAAGCAATGTCTGTAATCAGCCATGTCCAGATGTTTTTAGGCATAGCTGAAAAATTGTATAAGTACCTTACATCTAGTTTACCACAACTTCATATTCTCAAAGAGCACCAGAAACGTCTATAGTACGTCAACAGTAGACACTCTGAAACAACTTTCTAATACAAGATGAGCAAGTACAAAGCATGCAGTTGATGCTGATGTTGAATCTTTTTCAGCTATTCTAGCCACTCTAGAAAATATAAATCTATGAGAATCTAAAGAACATACAGGAAATGTTAGAGAAAAAGCTATTGGACTATCAGTTTTAATAAGAGAAAAGTTCATTTGTTTTTCTAATGTTATTTTTGTCAAAGATGTTAATTAATCTAACTATTTGCAATGAGAGGGTATAGATGTTTTATTTGCAAAACCGTTGAATGATGTTCAAAAAAAAAAAAAATTGTAGACATCAGAAAAGATGAAGCTTTTAAATTTCTACATTTAACAGTCATCATTTATCATTTATTAGTAAAAAATATGCCGAACTAGATGTAGAAACTGAATTAAAAAAAAACTCATTTTTCTTTTAATTCAGTAGGCCTAACATCCAGCCAAAAAGAAACGCACGACAGGACAGCTGACATCTGATAGGAGAGCTGTGGAGAGATGAAAGAGTTAATGATCCAACTACACACCTAAAATGTGAAACCTACTTCAATGTTTTGGATACAATTATAACCCAAATAAATAAACGATTTCACAACTTTAGTAACACATTTATACATTTTAATTGCCTTGATCCGTCAAAATTATATGAAGAAAATATAAATTCATTTAAAAATTGTGTCAAATTTATTCCAACGACGTAAATGCTGAAGAAGCAGTTGTAGAGTATAAGACTTTCAATGATATGTATGCATCAATATTCCCATCATTGACAACTGACATACTATTGAAAAATGTACTTTAGTTCTTGATTGAGAAACAGATAGCACCCGGTCTTCCTAACTTGTCTACACATTTCAAAATCTACTTGAATCTTCCGTTACATTTGGTAATGATGAAAGAAGTTTCAGTAAACTAAAAATTACAAAAAGTTATTTTAGATCAACAGCGACAAATGAACGTCTTTCTGGATCAGCATTAATTTCTATTGAAATAAAATTTCTAGTTTGCTGAAAACATTGACTTTGACTTGTCGATAAATCGTTTTGTTTCAATGAAATCTTGCAGAATTTGTGTAAACTACCTGAAAAGTTAATTTTTTTCCTAAATGCTAATTTTTGTAATATGTCTAGTTACATTTTTAAATGACCGAACTATTTCAGTAATATTAAATATTTCTTATTTTATAAAAGATAATTGTTAACTAAAATAAACAAAAGAAACTCAAAAAAAATTAGAGTATATGTATGTAATATGTATAATATGTATGTAATATGTATAATAAAAGTCACATAAAAATACTTATAAAGTGTTTTAGTCGTCAAAATAATTTCTGGGGTTTAAAACACCACACCCAACCCGGTCGCCCCCTATTCATTGACTTGGCCCTTTCCCTCCCCCCCTCCCCCCACGACACTAAACCTCAATCCGCCACTAGAAACTCAATAAACAATTATTGACATCAGATGTTAAAAATTTGTGATGTTTAAATTTTTGGTAAATATTTTAAATCTCTAAGGAGTAACCGTGCTGATGTCAAGGTCACGTGTTTGATATGTTCCAGGTCACGTGATCACGTTTGATATGTCAAGATCACAGATCACGTTTGATATGTCAAGGTCACGTGTTTGATATGTTCCAGGTTACGCGTAAAGGATTTTTTTTCCAAGTAAAATAGGAATATTTAAATTATCACGTGCAAATTTAACAAGAATAAAATTACTCAAAAATAAGTTTGTTAAACTATGAGATTGTTATTAAAATGTAAAATTAAGTCTATTAATAACTAATATTAAAAAATCCAATAGCAAATAAGGTGGCTAAACGGACAAGTTAAAAGTTAAAAATTTTTTAGACCATGCAAGTTTTAGCACAACTTGCAGGAGCAAGTAGCAAGTAGTGCAAGTAGCAAGTAGCAAGTAGCAAGTAGCAAAGTAGTGCTAAATTCCAAGGAGCAAGTAGCAAGTAGTGCTAAATTCCAAGGCTTTTATTTTCTATCGACTTTTAAATTTAAAAATTTTATTAAATTTTTTTGTTTAAGCAAAATTATTTTAAATAAATCGCAATAAAATAAAGATTAAATAAAAATTTACGGCAAAAAAATGTTAAGATTCATATAGTCAATATTAAACAATTAACAATTTTATCTAACATCTATTTTTTTTTTCATTTTTACGTTAAAAAAAAACTTACAAAATTTACAGACGTTACTAAACGTTGTTTTTTTCTTTTCGTTTTTTCTTTGTCTATTATATTAAAATCGCTACGAGAAAAAAAATATATACATACTTCTAACATCTAATTTCTTGGTTGCTTCCTGTGGTGCCACGCTGAGCTATCATCTTGCGTTTAGAGTTGTTTATTGGTGGAGCACTGTTGCTGTTTGTGGGTTCATGGCGATAACAGTTTAGACGCTAACCAAATGGATAACCAAATAATGCTTTAATTTATAAGTGTAAAACTAACCATTAAAAAAATTATTGGCAATTTTATTTATATGACAATTGTTATTGTCCGAAACATTTTGACTTTCTATTTTGATTATTTATTATTAATTAGTTTCTTTTTATTGTTTTTTGAGTTTCACCAAAACCTAAAGATTGTAAATAAAAATTAAAAGCTAGTTTTCTTTTTTTAACTTTTAAATATTTTGTTTTAGAATGATATTTAAACTTACAAGCATTTAAATGCAATTTAAATGCAATATTTTAAATTGCGAGCATTACAAAACAAGTTTAAAAACCTTGTTTTTTTTATAAACATTGTTTTATTTTGTTTTGAATGTATATATAAAGAAACTTTGAAATTCTCAGCAAGGTTTAATTAAAACGAGCCTCCAAAAATTCAATAGAGCGTGCAAATCAGGTTGGCAAGAACTCATCCATGCATAAAGTAGATATACACTCGGCTATTGGCAAAAAAGCCTCGATCAGCGAAAAAAATGCAAATAATAAGTTTATATAAAAATTCTTTGAGTATACTATGAAATAAGTACATAAAACAAATATCTGTCTTGTGCGTGACACATTTTCTTTAGTGCTTTTGTGTGGAACATTAATTGCGTACATTTCTGCTAAAATGGGTGTTAAGCCTATTCTAATATTTTTAATGGTAACATATGGCTGTTGTGTAACATTTGGGTGTTGTTCCAAAATGACAGTAAAAAAAGGTAAAAAAATTTATTTGCTTTTTTTTGTTTGATTGCAAAGTTTTTACTATTTCATGTTTAATTTTAAATTAAATATGAAATAGTGAAAACTTTGCAATCTTAATATAATAGTAGTTAAAAAATTTTTGCTTGTAAAAAATTAAATGTATTACAGTTTGTACGCTGGATAACATTTTTCAAAACTGTAGATTCGTGTAAACTTTGTTTTGAAAATGTATTGTTTTTCCTAAATATAAACTCAAACAATAGTAAAAAAAAAAAAGATTACGCTGCTTTTTAAACACAAACGGATTTTTTTTACAGGCTTCACTCGTTATAAAAAAAAATTAAAATTCTTCAAAATTTTAATTTGAAATGACGATGTTTGTTTTGATCTATTTAAACATCATAAAATAAAGATCAAATTTTAATTACTGCAAAATGATTCAGCACAAAAAAATCAGTTACTTAAACTATGCCTGATTTTTTTTTACTTTATAACAGTGTAAAAATTTTTATTATCTTCAAATATCAGGCAAATCTGATTTATAGCAAAGATTTGTTGAAATGTATAGTTAACTTTTATGAATCAACTTCTAAAAAAATTCGTAGACGTTTATTTTGTTTTCCAACATGAAAATTTTTTTTAAATACCACCAATAAGTATTGTTCGCAAACACAACGAATTCAACGAATTCGTTGAATTAAATTATTCAAATTGTGCAAGCATTAGTCAGTAATGTTATGTTTATTCCTTCAATTGTTCATTAACTATTGCCCTAATAGTTATAAAAATGGTTTTAAATTTTTATAAAATATTAACCCTGTTTTAAACAAGGTTTCCCGGCTTTTTTTGACACATAAATTTTGTTTTGTTGTTATATGTAATAGTTAAATGATTCAGAATTTTAGTTTAATAATTTTTTTGCAGTTAAATAATTTTTTTGATGTTGCATCAAGCAGAACTTCAATCATGAAACTTTTTAGAAAAATAAAATTTTTTTATGAAACTTGTTTATGAATATTTTATTTGTTTGTCCGCCAGTAAAATCTGAAAGGTATTCCTAAATCTAAAATCTAAAAAGTTTTTGTTTAAAAATTGCTGCGTTTCAAAAATCTTATATAAATAATCATTTGCTGTTTATCGCTTTTTAATACTTATTATTATGTTCAACTTTTGATTTAGTTACTAAAATGCTGGTTTTTAATAACACAATATTTTATTATTTTTGTTAAAGGTTTCTGACTTGGAAAGCAAAACTTAGAAATTTTCATCAAAATTAATATAAAATCTTCATTATATTGAGATATAATTGTTTTATAATATGAAAACCCTGAGTACTTCATCCATGATACTATATATTTTAATGCGAACTTTAAATTTTTCAAATTTTGTAGAAAATAGGGTTCGAGACAAACGAAACATTCCGTACGCAGGTCAAACATTACAAGCAACTTACAATATTCTAAGTCATCCAATAGTTGCAGCTGCACTTCAAAAAATATCGATGGACGCAATGGCCACTGTAGCATCAGCCTTAAAAGAAGTTCATCAATCGGAAGAAAATGAAAAAAAGAAAAAACTTATGACAAAAACGTTAGACAAAATTTCAAAAATAAATAATGCTTCATTACGTCAGCCTATGCCTTTACTTCATGACTTTGACGATGGTTCCGGATCAGGGGGTAAGCCATGAAAACTTAAACGTTTGTTTATGTTAAAGCATCTTAACTGAACAACTTAATTACCAGTACTCATTCATAGCACAACACATTTACTTATTATGCAAAGAACTATATCTAAACATATTACTATACAAAGAACAATTCGTATCCAAACAACAACTCGTATTCAAAAAACAAATCGTATCTAAACAACAACTTATATGCATACAAAAACAAAAAAATGTATAAAGAGACAAAGAAGAAATCTTCATGATATGCAAATTAAGGACAAACGAGTATGTAAGGGTTTTTTAGGATCTAAAATTAAAAAAATTCAAAAAAAATGGTTTTTAGATAAACAGCGAATCTTGACATTTCATCGGTTGATAAAACAAAATCGAAGAATATTTATATCTCTACGCAATTACATATTTCAGCCTGTAAAGTTGTAGATAGTTATTTATTATAATTTTTTCTGCCTTGAAGAACCTTTTTTTATGACTAATACAGTTCAAAATGTAATGGTGGCAATGATATTACAATAATAACAAAGTTTAAAAAGTAATGAGCAAGTATGCAGATATCTTAAACAAAACGATTATGTCAAAATTTGGAATTTTAGAAAGATTAAAAAACAAGACCTTGCAATCTGAACAACTCAATAACTGTGCCACACCTGCTAACTCTGATCCTAACTTTGACAATTTTCTTTTTTTTGCGGGTAAATAAAGAATTTCATTTCTACACAATAAATCACGCCCACCATAATGATCATAACCGCCCTACACAATCATGCCCATCATTGGTTTGCAACTTATTTCTGATTTTATTTTGAAAATCTTATCGCTTTATAAACATTTTTCAAAAGCAGATAATGTGCAGCAAAACCTTTAGAAGTATAGAATTTCAAACAAGGGCGGACTGGGAATATATAAGCCCAGGTGGAGATGAATTATACCGGGCCCAAAAGTATGATAATAATATCATTATCATCATAAGTGTAAATATAACGATGCTGTCGCGCTTCCCTCTCCTACTAAAAAAACATGCAAGTTTCCCAATTTTTTCTAATTTAAATATTGTTGTCCCCCTAAATAGTAGCATTAGTAATATTCTTAGCTCTATATATTATTAACTATGTTTATGCCTAAGCAATTATTTATAATATAAAATAAATGATAATTCCTCGTATAGGCATTTACTAAAATATGAGGAAAATAAATCAATGTAGTTAGGTGAAAAAAAAAGTTAACAATTTACTATTAAGGAACAATATATAGTATTAGTTTAGGATAACATTTTATAAATTTATAAATTTTAAAAAAAAATTTTTATAAATTAAACTTAATATATTTATTCTTTTAAAACACCCAATAATTACATAAACTATAGGTAAAAGTATTAAAAAAAAACAAAGCACATTTAAGTATTTTCTTGCGTCGTTCTTGGAATGTTTTCCTCCATCAGCGTTCTAAATACTTCTCTTTGTTCCTTTAAATTCCAGTGTTGGAACGATTGTTTTAAGATCGCCGCAACATTGGCCTCCAATGCTTCCTGAGGGCGTGCAATTATAATTTTCTTACCCTCGATCATAAATTGGAGCATGTTTATATCAGCTTTCTTACACATTATCATTACCTCACCCACAAATGATCGTTGATTCATTAAAGGCATCTGAGTCCGTATAATCGAGTAACATATGGGGTTGTTTAAGAGCCTGATAAATAGATTTAACTTGTTGCGAAAAAGAATGTCTGACACAGCGTCTACTTTGAAATAAGAATGTAGATAATTTCTACTTTGCTTTGAAATATTAAAGATGGATTTTAAGACAGATCGTCCAGCTATATCAATGCTATTTAGAAACTTATTGCTGCTTCCACACAGTTCTAATCCGTATAACAACGTTGGAACAGCTAAAGAATTAAATAAGTGAACTATGGTAGCAGGCTGGCAAAAGCGAAGTCCATTTCTTATAAGACCTTTTGCAACAGATAAAAATTGCGTTACACGTTCAGTTATATTTTGTTTTTGGAGTGTTGCTGTCATTTTTTTGTTCTTATTATCCCAAAGGAAACCAAGATGTTTTAGATTGTTTTGAGGCTTGATAGGATCACCGTTAATATAAATAACGTTAATTAAAATCGAACTTATTCCAGATATTAGAAATTCAGTTTTTTCTGTATTCAGTTTAATAAAGTTCGATAGTCCATACTTTTGTACAATGTTAATAAGGCTCTGAAGACCAGATATAGTGGAACTTTGTAAAACTATATCATCAGCATATGCAATGATACCTGTGTATACACCATTTATTGAAGTTCCAACTTTTGATTCTGAAACAATTTTCTCTAGAAGGTTCTCTGTGTAGATATTGTAGAGATGAGGCGACAGTATGGATCCTTGACGCACTCCCTGAGACAGCCTAAAATTGTTTGATGTACATCCAAGATATGATATATTAGAAGTTCCTGTTTGATATAGTGATAATATTGTATGAACTATAGATAATGGGATTTTTTTCTGGTAATAGAGTTTCTCGAATAGTAATTCCCAATTACAACTGTCAAAAGCTTTGTTGGCGTCTAGACTGCATATATATAGCGGTGAGTTATTATGATTATAGTGCTTTATTGTTTCACTCAGAAGAAATTCTGCGTGGAGGGTAGAGCTGTTTTCTTTAAAACCGAATTGATGGGAATGACTTTCTGTTATATCTGGACATATGTGTATGATAAGATATTCGAGAAGTTTTGTAAAAATTGGTATAATGCTGATTCCTCGATAGTTATTTGGATTTTCTAGTGATGTTTTATAAGACTTGACTAATGGGATAATTTTGGCGGTTGATAAACCGTGTGGAACCTTTCCATTTGTTAACATATTGTTATAAAACGACGAAAGTAAAATAAGAAGATTCTTGTTGTGAGAGTTTTTAAGATGTTCAGCACTGATTTCATAGCAATCGTAAGATTTATTATTTTTAAGCTTTAAAATACATTTTTCAATATCAGCTGTCGAGATAACTTTTGAATTAGGCTCTTTACTTAAATGTGGAATTTGGAGAGGATTGAACTCGTTATTTGTATATTGCGGTGTATTAAGTAGTTTTTGGAAATGATGACTAAATTCTTCGACGATTTCGTTTTTGTTCTGCAATTTATTAATTGTAAAGAGTCGATTGTTAGTATTTTTTTTGATTTTTCGAATATTACCCCAAAACCTTTGAGGATTTGTATTGCGTAAGTGTTCTATATTTTTAGTTTTTTCGTGAATTTTTTTGTTATGTGCCGCTTTTACAGCTTTACGAAAGTTTTTTCGGGAATAAATAAATCTTTTGTAGGATATACATTCTGTTGACTTATTATAACCTGATTTTTGCCATTGTTTAAAGTGAAAGGAGAGATTATTTTTAATTTTTTTAAGCTCAGGTGTCCACCAAGGTTTCGAGTACTTATAAAATTCTTTTTGTCCGAAACATTGTTTAACTGCCAAGAGAGCTGCATTTTTTATATATAAGCATGTTTTTTGAATTTCTTCTTCTATTTTATCTTCCTTAAATGCGTAACTAGTAAATGCTTTTGATAGATTGAGATTATAAAAGTCAATAAACCTTTCGTTATTCCATGCATGTTTTGGTATTGAATTATATTTTTGCATTATATTATTTATTTCGTGTGATAAGCCGGTACCTTCAAAGTTAATATTCGTAGACACCGGAAGGTGATCACTAAGGTTAAGCGGTGAAGATTGCATAACTTGACAGTTTGTAAAACATAGTTCTGTCTGTTTATAGGATGCAATATGGTCAATGTAAGAAGAGTTAGAAAGAGTTTTATGTTGATAGGTATAAGTAGGCCCAGCACCGTTGATTATATCGACAAAAGCGAGCTGATTTGATTCAATAAAATTAGTGAGATGTTTTGAGAAATTGTTCCTAGTTTTGTTTTTACGAAGCTCTGAATCATATATTTTATATGGAAATGACTGAAAATCTCCGGAAATAATACATTCTCCTTCATCCTCATAGTTGTTCATACATGTTTGTAACTGAGAAGAGTATTTTGCGTATGATTCGTTATTATTACGACAGGATGAAAGGTAAACACCAATAAAAATTAAGTTACGATTGTTAAGTGTGCCTTTAATAGCAAGAATGTTTTCATCTTCATGTATTATGTAAAAAGACGACAACTTTTTTCGTACCATAAAAGCATTTCCTCCATATGGTCTACCGTGTGTATTTTTTTCTGCCGCATGAAAAAAAACTTTGTGTGTTAGTAATGCAATGTTATTTAACAAAAAACTCTCAATATTTAAAAGCCAATGTTCTGATATAAAAATAATATCGAAAGACTTTAACAACTTAGAAATATAATATGAATTCGATTTAAAGCTTTGACAGTTATATGCACATAGCGTAATATTTGTGTTAGTTACATTTAATTCTTTTTCTCCCATTATGATTTCAATTTTTATTGTTGCATAAATGCTGAAGAGTGGTGTAAGAATTGTGGCAAATGATTTTCGGTATTTTGATGTGGTTTTTCGATTGTTAGTGCTTCTCGCCGCATTCTAAACGGTTTAACAATAATGTTGTTATCCCAAACATCGGGTTTAAGTACCATTCCTTTTTCAGTACTATTAATTTTTACTTTGAAAGAGCGGTTGTACATGTTTTCTCTATTAAGCTTTATGTCTAAAGGAGTAATACCTATTTCTTTATTCATGTAGTTTGATAGATCTTCTTCGGATATGGAATTACAAACTCCGCCTACAAATATATATGATTCTCGAATAATACGTTTGCCCGCAATCGAGCTTCTGTTGCTAGCGACTTTGTTTCCGAAAACGGGTTCTTTTTTTTGCTTATCCATATGGCTCTTATTAACTTTATTATTTTTTCCTACCACTTTGAATTCTTGATAGTCTGTTACACAGTCTTTTTCTTTTTCTGGTTTCCGGTTATTTTGTTCCGGGTTTTGCATTTTAACCACGGTAGCGTAGGAATCTCTAATTTT